CGGCCGCTCTCCCGCCTCCCCCCGCGCCCGTCCCAGTGCCCGGCGGCTCCGCGCCTAACGCGCGCTCCCCGCTCCCCGCAGGCCGCGGCGCCGAGCGCACGTTCGTGGCCGTGAAGCCGGACGCGCTGCAGCGGCGCCTGCTCGGGGACATCGTGCGGCGCTTCGAGAGGAAGGGCTTCCGCCTCGTGGCCATGAAGCTGGTGCAGGTGAGACCCTTCCGGGGCGGGGCGGCGCGGCGCGAGGCTCCTGCGCTGGCCGGGAGGCGGTGGGTGCAGAAAGGTGAACCTGGCCTGTGTGCCAGGCTCTGCGGGGGCACCGAGGAGCGGCGCCCAGGGCAGGTTCAAGCTTCTGTATCGGACCCTAGCGGCAGTCTGGACCGTGCCCCAAACCACGCAGGGGTCTGAGGGACCTGGCGGGGAGCAGGTCTGTTTTCCCTGCTGGATGTAGTTGCTCCTGGTCAATAACGTCCCAACACAGTGGGACTGTGTTCAGAGGAACTTGCTTTGGCTTCTCTTGTGCTTCCCCAGAGACATCCTGGCTGTAACGCATCTAGTGATCAGAGTAGCATAGGCAAGGCTCCTGCCCATCAAGGAGGGCTTGTGCTGACTGAGCCTCTCGTGCCACCTGCTGCAGCCAGCCCAGCGGAGGGGTTTTATTTGCATTGCTTTCCCGGCCAGGGCAAACATCTGACGTGATTGGAAGTGTAGTTCTCAGTAGGACCGAAATGTTGTTTTCAAACAGAACTTAGGTACCTAAGTCTCGGTGAAAGTCAGCGGGACGTAGGCACGGAAATGTTTAAGTTGCTTTTAAGAATTGTGACTTGGCAACTGAAAGTTTCAAAAGCACCTGTGTTTTTCCTTGGATCACTCCACCCTCTGGGCCTTTGCTCCAGGCTTTCTGTGCTGTAGGGTATTGGAGAAGGGCAACCTGTTGTGGGCAGACATGCACTAGTGAGGGTCTCATATAAAGGCCTGTCTACTCAAAGAATTAAGCTACAGCAAACTGAGTCCCCTTCCTCTTGAATGGCAGCACCTGCATGGGAGTTCAACATGCACCCACTGACTTGACACCTTTACCTGATTATTATTTTCCCCTGAGCATCCCTGTATAGACATGGCCTAAATCATGGGGAGTAACTGCAGTGCACTGAGTAGGGTAATAATGAGGGTTGGCTCATTTATTAGTGCTGCTTTCTTTTTGCCCCCAAATCATCAGGAATCTGTTGATCCTGTTCCTTAGTAGATACCCCATGTGCTGTGGATATGCTGCTGATGTACAAGATGACCCATAAGGCAAAAGTCAACACCTTTAGAAAAGTGTCTTGAAGGACAAAGGATAGCTAGAGAATGAAGACTTTGCTTCAGAGCCACAAGGGAAAGGGGGCAGGTAGCTTGGCTGGACAGTCTGATGCCTCAGGAGAGGAGCAGTTTTATGTAATGGAGCAAACATTACATAGAGGCAGTTCTGCTAGTTCTGTGTCTTCCAGCATTTCTGATGAGCATGAGCCAATAATGGAAACTGGTTTGTGATAGTTGGTGAAGGACACCTGCTCGCTAAAGAGCTTGCTCTGACTAGAGTACGGCCTTACAGAACCTTTCCAGCAGGCAGAACTCGAACTGGGGGAGCACAAAGTGATTCCTCAAAAGGAGATATGCGCCAGATACCTGTGTTCCTTCCAGAGGCTGCTCATTTCCCCCTTGCCTGGCTGAGTGACTCCCTAGCACAACTGCAACAGCACAGAAGAGAGAGCCTAAGCAGACCTTTCTGGCTCTCCAGGCAGTCATCCCAGTCCATTTTGGAACCATCCTGTCCTGCCAGAGTATACTAGATCATGTGCTGTGTTTGTGCCCAGGCCTCAGAGGACCTACTGAGTGAACATTACTTTGCCCTTCGCGATCGCCCCTTCTACAATCATCTGGTGAAGTACATGAGCTCGGGTCCTGTTGTCGCCATGGTGAGTGCCAGCCAGAAACTTTTTTGACTGCTGAGATAAGCTTTGACTTGAAAATACATTAGCTTTCCTACATCTTTCTTAGAGCTTTCTTCGGGGCAGATTCTGCTTTGACTTGCCCTTTGTGTGACCTCGGGGGTAACAGCGGGTTGGAGAGAGTAGAAGGCCTGATCTGGCCCTTGGTGTGTGGCAGGCTGGGGAAGCTGAACTTGCTTTGCTGTCTGGTAGGTTTGGCAGGGATTGGATGTGGTGAAAACTGCTCGTGCAATGATTGGAGAAACTAATCCAGCTGATTCCAGACCTGGCACCATCCGTGGGGATTTCTGCATTGAAGTTGGCAAGTAGGAACATTGATTTTGTTTGTTTGTTTTTGGTTTGGGGGGTTTTTTTTGTTCTGGCATTTTGGTCAAGAGAGGCACTTTCTCAGTTTATTCCAAGCACCATATCCTAGTACTTTCCTTTCATTGGGGGGCAGGGAATGTAACACATCTAGTGTAACCTTACTCCCTCTACCCAAGAAGGCAGGAAAATGAAACACTAGTGGCCACTAGAGCAAAGAAAGGTTTTCTTGATTAGGTAACATAACCTCACGTGTTCCAGTTCCGGGATTTGTATCCTAAAAGTGTGGTCTGTTTGGGGTTAAATCCGAGGCCCCTTGCCTAAGTGCGAAAGGGACTATAACGTTGATTCAGTTAATGTAAAGCTAGCCATTGGCACAGCAGCGTTCCTCTTCAGAGTGCAGCTCAGACATTAAACTTATTTTTGCAATACTGCTCTGAGGGAGGTGAGGAACTTCAAGCAGGAAGAATTCATATGACTTGTCTGTGGCCAGAGAGAGCCTGCCAGAGCTACCTTTAGGATCTGGCTCCATGTCTAGCTCCCAGTCTTGTGTTCAGACCACACATCTCCTCTAGCAGAGCCATTTTGCATAGCAAATAAAGCCATGAAGGCTACTTGTGCTAGGCTGTCTCTTTGGCCTTAGTAGTTGGCTTTATAAGATGAGGAGGAGGGGGCTTGATGCCTTTTTTTATTGCTAAATTACCTTTTGGGGTGTAGGAGGAAGAAATGAGGGTTGTTCTTTGATTTTCTTGATATCCCTATAATAAAAGCACACCTGGCCTATGGAAGGGCTCCTTGGAGTACATTAGGGAGCTCTCCCAGGCACTGAGATGATGGGAACACTGTCTTTAGCAGATCTTCCATGTTTCTGGGGTATTGGTTGTAGCTATGTTGGTCTAAGGGCATAGGCAGACAAGGTTCTTTGGGTAAATATGATATCTCTTTATTAGATTTCTGCATGCCATCTGGTAACCCCAGGTAACCTCTCTACATTTTACCAGCTGCAGTTTATCACCAGGTCAGCATTCCCCTTCCTCCCCCCCTCCCCTTGTCTCCCATGGCTTCTGATCCTCACTGCCACACATCTGCATTTTCATAGACCTACATTTTGCATATTGGCTCCTATTCCATCCAGAACAGAAAACAACAGCAGACTCTCCCTCTGCCTGAAGAAGGGTGTTTGTGCCCAAAAGCCTGCAAAAAAAATTTTTTTTTCCAGCTATTTAGTTGGTCTAATAAAAGACATCACACTTGCCCAAAGAACCTTGTTCTACCTATGTCTTTAGCTGAAGCATTTTCCTCCTCATTCTTTATAGGGCATTTCAATTAAATAAGTGTTAACTACATGATGCACAGGGTCCTCAGACCCTTCAAGTCTATGTTGGTGCGTTGCACCAGTGAATCTACAACAATTGTTGCCCTGGTGCCAGAGCCTTGGACTAGCTCCAGGGAAATGATTTCGTTTTACACTCACTAAGTTTCAGTTTCCTGGCATTTGGTGTCAAACCAGCTTGTTCTGCATAAAGACACCTTGGAAGGAAGGCAGCAGGGAATGGGAGATGAGGCTTAAACTTCTGGTATAAAAACAAATAGAACTAAAAGTAACCAGCACCTTTTAGCTCTGTGTGGGCAGCCAGAGAAGCAGGTATCAATGCAGCAGACAGAAGATACCGTTCAGTCCAAGCAAATAATGCTACATCCTAAAAGGAAGTGGGAGCTACAGAATACAATGACCTTTGGTGTAGCCATGTCCAGCAGTAGGGGGGGGGTGCAGAGGGGAATGTTTGACAATGGCACTTATCCAGCAGGTTATATCACTGGCCAGAGTGAAACTGTTCCCCCTTCTGGATCCAGCATGAAAAATACTTGGTGCGTGTTCAGTGCTCTTATTCATTTACACAGTACAGTTTCACTGTGTCACTGAGACATGTAAGGCTGCACCTTATGTGTCCCATAGCTACTTCCCATAACTAACTTTGGCTTCACAAGTTTACTGCCCACTTCTCACTCTTAAGTGATCACTTTCATTAAAATAAGGTTAAATGGAAATGACTGTTCTAATAGGTATATTCTGCAGGCTCAGTCTGTTCCTTTCCCATATTTGAGAGAGGGCATTTTGGGTGCAAAAGCCTGTCCCACATGCTTCCCAACTAAACAGTTTGCCTTGAAAGAATATTACCTTACCTCACTAATCTTGCTTCTCACGTATTCCCTGGACCATCATGGACAGAACACCACTGCTCGGAGAGTACAGTCTGATCCTTTTCACTATCTCTACAGGAACGTGATTCATGGCAGTGACTCTATTGAGAGTGCACGAAGGGAGATTTCACTCTGGTTCCGTGAAGATGAGCTGATCTGCTGGGAGGACCATGCTGAGCACTGGATCCATGAGTAACAAGAATGGCTCTGAGGAAGCCCTTGCTGTCCTTCAGGCTTGGTGCATACCCATCCATTTCCATTTCAGCCTCTCTGGGATTACTGTGGGCTATTGTATTATCTCTTTTCAGTGGAGTTTTCTTTCCAGGATGTGTGGGGTGGGAAAGCAGGGAGTCTGTTCTCCATTTGTAACACTTAAGTTTCAGCTCCATGCAGTAACAGTGGTCTCATCCCGTAGTTGGTACTGCCTGTTTTGTTTACTCACACCTCTGTGATATCCTAAAAATCACAAGGTTACGTTTAAGGGACCTAAGAAAAGGAAAGGCAATTTGAGTTTTGTGCCCTTCTTCGCAAATTAAAAGGTTATAAAGGCAGACCAGAAAGCTGCATTAAAACTTTATGTCCTATTTGCTGTGAAAGATTGTCTGGAAAATAGGGAATTGTGGAAATGATGGTATCATAAGAACCAAGAGTAAAAAGGGAGCATCTGAGAGGGGAAGATTTGTGGATCTCAAGATCAGAAGGGACCATTAAGATGATCTAGTCTGATATCCTGTGTAAGAGGCCAGAGATTTTCACCTAGGAATTCTTGCATCAAATATGGGTGTTCTGCTGAACACTAGAGCGG